CAGAATGTTGTATACATAATAAATAAATAAAATCTTTAAAAAAAAAGAGTATATAAGAATATCATTAGCAATCATTTTATTTACTTTTTAATCATATGTATTGTGAGTCTCCAGCCACAGATTCCTGGTCATCCAGGCAATAATTGGGCATGGGCTTCCTTTCATGGTGTGGGCCTCAAATTAGACCAGTCATTGGTTGGCCACTGTCACCAATTCTGTTCCTCCATTGCTACAGCACATCTTGCAGGTGGGTAGATTGTAGGTGGAAGGTTTGTGCCTGGGTTGGTGTCCAAGTCCTAGCATTTTCAGGCTTACCTTGTTACAGAGGATGGCTACTTCAGACTTCTTGTAGAAGTCCTCTCTATGATCAACGTCATAGAATCCTGGGAGTTTCTACTGGACTGTTTACACACACACACACACACACACACACACACTCACACACTCTGTCTCTCTGTCTGTCTGTCTGTCTGTCTCTCTCTCTAACATAAACACACACACACACACACACACACACACACTCACTCACTCACACACACTGTCTGTCTCTCTAACATAAACACACACACACACACACACACACTAACACACACACACACACACACACACACACACACACACTCACACACTTTGTCTCTCCTAGCTGTCATCTTATTTTTGAAGTTAATATTCTTTTGTAGTCTTCATTTTTTTATTTTTTCAACTTTTTTATTTGAATTAGAAACATCTCTCTGTCTTTTTTTTTTTTTCAAACACACACACACACACACACACACACACACACACACACACACACACACACACACACACACACACTAATGTACACATACACCATACATGCCAGTATCTTATTTCAGTTGTCTCTCTTCATATTCTCTCCCTCCATTCTCCCCTCCTCAACCTGATCTCTCCTGTTCCCATCCCCACCCACCTCCATTCCACTAACAATATCCACTCTGTTTTCTACTGCCCAAGAGAATCCAAGCATCCGCCTTAGAGCCCTCAGAAGGAGAGGTTTTAAATTAGAGAATCAGATTTTGGTGGTGAGCGTGTTGCTGTTTTTCTTTATTGTTGGAGATGTGGTCTCTATATTTAGTCTCGGCACAATTTTAATCATCGTGAGTTTCATTCCTGCGTAGGTTACAAAGAGAGTTCCCTAAGCAAAGAAGGCAACACAATGTGACTGTGTCTAAGAAACATACACAAGAGCAGAGGAGATCTTCTTCATGTGATCCTTCAGAGTGCTCCTTTACCACAGTCCATTATTGCTTGATCACTTAGGTGTCTGACCTTTTACAAGGTTTCGATAAGAATGAGAATGTTACTAGTGATCCTTGCAGTTTGAATGGAGGTTCTTCTGAACTTCCCTATAATGAGAGTTAAATGCAAAAAGCATGTGCTCAAAGCTCTATTCCTACAAATTGCTTTACCCTTCTTAAGAAAATTTCAGGTATTGAATCTGTTATTCATGAATCAATCCCTATAATCCTTAATTTGCTAATTTTCCAGACAATCATCACATGTGTGTTGAATATAAGAAGGACCTTCACCATGGTTCAAAGGATATTGTCCATGATTATATGAATCTCCAAGAGAAGCCTTTTAAATGTATTGAGCTTAGCAAAGTTATTCATGAATCTTTTGAATGTATACCTTATGACATAAGTGATATTGCAGAAAACTGCAAGATTAGATTTGGAAACCAAAGAGATGCCTCTGTTGAATTATTAAACTCAACCCGACAAAGGAGTGGCAATATGGGAGAAGAATCCTGCAAATATAAGGACTGTGTAAGCTCTTTAAGTTTCTGTTCCATCATTAGCCAAAATCTAGGAATCTGCACTGAAAAGGAAGAACACAAAAATACAGAGGCTGATGAGTCTTTTGACTATAACCAGGAACTCACACTGAAAGGAATTCACAGTGAAAAGAAATCAGAGCAATGCCAGAAGTGTGAAAAATGCCTCAAGACATACTCAATCCTCAGTAGACATAAAGGATCTCATAAATGTACAGAGTGTAGTGATTTCTTTCTGAATTTATTGCAATCCAAAGTGCTTAACAACATTCCTTATGGAGAAAAATCCTACAGTTGTACTGAATGTAATAAGTGCTTTTATGATTCATCAGAGTTTAAAAGACATTACAGATTCCACACTGAAGAGAAAACTTACAAATTTACTGACTGTTGCAAGTCCTCCATTTATTGCTCAGATCTTGAAAAACATCAGCAAATTCATAGAGGTGAGAAGTCTCATGAAGTTAAGCAGTGTAGTAACTTCTGCACATTGTCACACGTTGAAGAGCATGATAGTAGCCATAGTGAAGAGAAAATTGACAGATTTAATGAGTGTGATAAATCCCCTGCCACTGCCTCGGGTGGTAAAGCAAATGAGAGGATTCACACAGGAGACAAACCTTACAAATGCATTGAATGTGGTAAATCCTTTATTCAGAAAGCTAAACTTAAAACACATCAAAGAATTCACACAGGGGAGAAACCTTACAAATGTAGGGAGTGTGGCAAGTGCTTTACCCAGCAGACACACCTAAGAACCCATCAGAAACTTCACACAGGTGAGAAGAATTACAAATGTGGTGAATGTGACAAATCCTTTTCCCAGAAAGACCATCTTAGGAGGCATCAGACAATTCATACTGGAGAGAGGCCTTATAAATGCACTGAATGCGGGAAAGCCTTTGCCCGTACCACATATCTTAGGTTGCATCAGAATGTTCACACAGGCTTGAAGCCATACAAATGCGGAGAATGTGGCAAAGGCTTTACTAGCAGCTCGTCTCTTCGGCTGCATCAGAACATCCATACAGGTGAGAAGCCGTACAAATGCAGTGAATGTGACAAGTGCTTTACCAGTAGTTCGTACCTTAAGTTGCATCAGAACATTCATAAAGGTGAGAGACCTTACAAGTGTAACGAATGCGGCAAAGGCTTTATTCAGAAACAGCAGCTGAGGAGACATCTGACGATTCACACAGGCGAGAAGCCTTACAAGTGTGGCGAGTGTGACAAGTCCTTTTCCGTTGGCTCAGATCTTAGAAGCCATCAGAGAATTCATGCCGAGGAGAATCCTTACAAGTGCAGCGAGTGTAAGAAATCCTTCAGCAGTTCTTCGTCTCTTCGATTGCACCAGAAATTTCACACTGGCGAGAGACCGTACAGGTGTAACGAATGCGGCAAAGGCTTTCTCCAGAACCAACAGCTGAAGAGACATCAGACGATTCACACAGGCGAGAAGCCTTACAAGTGTGGCGAGTGTGACAAATCCTTTTCCGTTGGCTCAGATCTTAGAAGCCATCAGAGAATTCATGCCGAGGAGAATCCTTACAAGTGCAGCGAGTGTAAGAAGTCCTTCAGCAGTAGTTCAGCTCTCCGACTGCATCAGAGAATTCACACCGGGGAGAAACCTTTCCAATGCAGTGAATGCGACAAATGCTTTATTCAGAAACACCAACTTAGGAGACATCAGACAAATCACACAGGTGTGAAGCCTTATAAGTGCAGCGAATGTGACAAGTGCTTTACCAGCAGTTCGTCTCTCCAGTTGCATCAGAACATCCACACAGCCGAGAAACCGTACAGGTGTAACGAATGCGGCAAAGGCTTTAACCAGAAACAGCAGCTGGTGAGACATCTGACGATTCACACAGGCGAGAAGCCTTACAAGTGTGGCGAGTGTGACAAATCCTTTTCCGTTGGCTCAGATCTTAGAAGCCATCAGAAAATTCATGCCGAGGAGAATCCTTACAAGTGCAGCGAGTGTCAGAAGTCCTTCACCAGCTCTTCATCTCTTCGGTTGCATCAGAGAATTCACACAGGCGAGAAGCCCTTCAAATGCAGCGAATGTAAGAAGTCCTTTGCCAGTGGGTCATACCTTAGAATACATCAGAAATTCCATACGGGAGAGAAGCCATACCAATGCAGTGAGTGTCAGAAGTCTTTCACCACTGGTTCGTATCTTAGATTGCATCAGAAAATCCATAGAGGTGAGAAACCTTTCAAATGCAGTGAGTGTGGCATATCCTTTGTTAAGAAACAACATCTAAAGATACATCATAAGATTCACATCCGGGAGAAAACTTATGAGTGCAGTGAATGTGGCAAATACTTTGGTCTGAAATTCAAACTTAGAGAACACCAGAGGATTCACACAGGAGAGAAACCTACAAGTGTAATGAATGTGGCAAATCCTCTGTATGGAAATGCAGACTTCCAACCCCTCAGTGAGTTCATACAGGAGAGAAACCCTACGGATGCAATAAATGTGACAAATCTTTTACCAGTGGGTCATATCTTAGAGTACATCTGATAATTCGTGCAGAGAGAAACCTTACAAACGTGGTGCCTGTGAGAAATGCTTGCCAGGGGCTCATACCTTAGATTGCATCAGAAATTTCATGCAGGAGAGAAACCTTACAAATGTTGTGAATGTGCTAAATCCTTTACCACTTACTCATATCTTAAGACTGCATCAGAAAATTTATAGAGGTGAGATGCTTTACAAATGTATTGCATGTGGCAAAGACTTTACCTCACTCGTATCTAATAAAATATCAAAAAATACATACCGTGGAGAAACGTAAATAATGTGGCATGTTCTTTATGCAAGCTATGTCCTTAGGGACCACTGGAGGCTCCATACTAGAGAATCATTGTGAACATAAAAAGCATGGGAACCCTTTAAGCAATGTTCAAATCTTAGAAAATATCAAACTTTCATACCGAGGAAAAATTCTTGTGAAAATGTAGAAAAAAATTTCTTTAAGACATAACTTATTCAACTTCAAATATTTAACATTGAATACAAAATGGAGAAACCTGATGAAGATGCTGTTGTGTAGGCATTTCCTGGAGACCAAGACATTCCATCCTAGGGAATCTGATTAGGACAGGAAATAAACCACTCAATAGCATCAAGAAGTACTTGAATTTGACAGGATTCACTGTGTTTAACTCCCGTGAAGAAATACACCAGTCATGCTATTTAGGTGAAGCTCCGACGAAGTGAGCTACGAAGATAGGGCATCCTTTACCCTGTGGGTATGCCTGCAGGTGTGCAGTGTCTTCCAGATGTCCAGTGTTTGCAATCTACATCCCATGCTGGCAAGTATCTTTGAATCCCTTTTGACCCTATAAATGGCTCCTCGGTAAACATATTTTCCTAAGAAGCTCTTGTATCTTAAATTATCACTTTTAATCTACATGCTACTATATGGCTTTTGTCTTTCTTTTGTTCTGTACCTCCAAATTGTTCTGCATCTTGCTGGCATCTCTCCGTTTGTAGATTCATCTTTTCTTTTCCCAGAAGTCCCACCTATTCTCCTTGATTAGCTATTGGCCATTTAGCTTTTTCTTTTTCCTTCGGTTTTTCGAGACAGGGTTTCTCTATGTAGCTTTGAGCCTATTTTGGCACTCGCTCTGGAGACCTGGCTGGCCTCAAACTCACAGAGATCCGCCTGCCTCTGCCTCCCGAGTGCTGGGATTAAAGGCGTGCGCCACCAACACCCGGCCTGGCCATTTAGCTTCTTATTAAACTAGTCACAGTGCCACATCTTTGCACAATGTAATTAATTATTCCACAACACTCTTCCATATTCCTGTAATTAATCCCAATAAAGCTCATGGGTTCAGCAACATGGATTTCAGTGGCTTTCATATTTGGTTCTGTTGTTAGTTTCCATTTGGGTGCCTACATACATAGGTATTTTGCATTTTCAGGGGCGGGGGGAACTAATGGAATGTGCTGACCCTATTTGTTGTTCCTCCAAATTGCATGTACAGCAGAAAAATTATATTGGAGAAAGAATTTGAGTCTACTAATTTGTGGAAGATTGTTGGTTGAGACTGCTTCAGGCTTACTGGCATAGTAGTAGCTGTTCTGCTTAAAGGAGCTCAACACAGAACATGTAGGCTTAGGGAGCCTCAGAGAGGAGGCTGCTTTCTTTGTTGCATTGAGGGAGGAGAGAGACAGCAAGTCTGTAGGAGGGCAAATGAAAACATGCCTACAAAACTGTCTGAGGCATTCCAAAGTGTGCTCTGTCTATCCATGCCTCTAAATTCTTAGACCCTATGCTTCGGTAATGCTTCATTGAACCTCAGAACACTGGTGGCCATGGGCAAATACTGAATACCATTGTATCCCTGTTTCCTGTTTTACATTAGAAATTCCAGTCTACAAGCCCCTCCCTTCTTTTTGTTAAAGCCTTTCAACAACTGTAGTATTTTTGGAAATACCAGAATAATTCATCATGAAATACATCTCAAGAAAATGCTTCAATAAAGACTTATTTTCATTTCATGTGTGAGTTGGTCCATACAAATATTAATAAATTATGAAACTCACATGAGATAACCTATGAACAGGACAATGTGTACATACTCCTGTACACCTTAGAAATCCCCAGGAATGTGCTTCCAGATCATTTTGCGGTACTGAGAAAAGATGGAAACATACTTATTCCAACCCGTAAGCACTACATTAGAATTCTAATTCTTGAGACTCAGGCATTTTAGACCTAGGCCAAGAAATTCATTGCAGTTTATTTAAACATGCCATTGTATACATGTTTCAGTGCAAGAGGATAGTCATAGCCAACTGAGAAATCCTTAACAGACATTAAACTCCCTGGAACTGGAATTATGGATGGTTACAAGCCAACACATGAGTGTTATGAACTGACTTCCAGTTCTCTGCAAGAGCAGAATGTGTTCTTTGTTGATGAGTCACACCTCCAGTCCCCTGGTGACATTTTCAAAACAGGAGTTTTAAGGGTTTGCATAGTCTCAATATATAACATCTCCAGAAAAAAATGGATATTGCATTGATCTTGAATGTATTGATTGGTAAAGCAGCCATTTCTCCCTGTTGCTCTGTTCTGATATTCTGTCTCAGAAACAATGAGTGGACCTCTTCTTGCCTTTTCAAATCAAAGTGTCAAATATGCTTAGAAAGACCACATTGACATTAACAACAAACCCTGTGGACAAAAGAAGAACAATAACAAATACCTACAGTATTAGTAGGAATCCAACTTACCGACCCACAATGCAACTCAGCTTGGAGATTTTTGAAAAATAAAATAAACAATGAGGCCCGGTGTGATGATGTTCACCTTAATCCATGCATTTGAGAGGCAGGACCAGGCAGAGCTCTGTGGGGGGGGCCCCATGTGTGTGGGAAAAAAATAGAACCCCAGCCAGTGAAAATGAATTTAAAGCATGTATTTTCCATAAAACAGCCACTTGAAGTCTGACACAAAACACTGAGAGTGTAGGACCTTATTTTGTTTATTTATTTGGATTTTGGAGACAAAGTTTCACTGTTCAGTTCTGGCTGTACTGGAACTCGCTCTGTTGACCAGGCTGGCCTTGAACTCGGAGAATCCACCTGTTTGTGCCAGCAGTGGTGTGCTGGGATTTACGCTGAGCTTAAAGGCAGGCACCACCACCACCCAGCAAGATTGAAGGCTTTTAAATGACAAAAAGATTTCCCTTGTAAATTTATTTTGGGGGGTATTTAGAGGAACACTATATTTAATAGTAAAGCTTTGCACCCTTCAGCACTGGGACTGCCATTGAGTCAAAGCGCCAGGGATAGCTAGAGGACCACAAAGTGCCTCAGTGAGTAAGGAGACCATCACACAGATGACACCCATGGCCTCAGACAGGAAAAGCCCAGGACAGAAGAGGCGAAGGGCTGCTCTTGTGAGATGGTTTCTGGGCATAGCCAATAGCCAAGCTGCCAAATGCCAGCTCAATGCCAGCCCCTGATCCCTGGTCCAGACCTCCTAACTGTGACAGCACAAGTACTAATAAAATTGACTGCAAGCAACCATGAGGGTGGAACTCCATTGGTTAATATTAAAGTCTGAAATTTCGGAATCATAATGTAACAATAGCATAGAAGGGGAAAGAAATCTGAAACTATAAAACTATCTTTTATACATCTGAAGCCTTTTTTTTTTTTTTTTTTTGGTTTGTCGAGACAGGGTTTCTCTGTGTAGCTTTGGAGGCTGTCCTGGAACTCGCTCTTATAGACCAGGCTGGCCTCAAATTCACAGAGATCCTCTTGCCTCTGCCTCCCGAGTACTGGGATAAAAGGCATACCCTCCTACCACCACCACCACCGCCGCCCCGCCGTCTGGCTTAAGCCATTTTTAGACCTTCATAAATCGTACCCAAGTATCTCAAAAACACCCGTTTTAGATCCTCCCAATCCAGGCTGTGATATCCTCAGACTGTAACACTGTAACTCACTTTTACATTGCTTAATAACTTGCAATTAATAGTTTGCATAATTTAAATACCTAAGTCACTTTCTTATCGAAATTTAAGCTTCTACATCCTCAAACCTATATAATTTGCATCTATACACCTTAATATAATTTCTTAAACTCTAATAAGACTTTTTTGTTGTAGTTGTTCCTCTCAACTTAAGGTTTAAACTTCACACCCTTTTCCTTTCTAATCATTTAGGAGGAGACATAGATTGTTGATTACTGAGGGCAGTTTTTGTAGAGTGATTTTTTTTAAAGTAGTTTGAAAGGAATCTGTTTTGTGGATTTATCTGTTTTCTGTGTTTGGTAACAAGGCAAACTGTATCCAGACATAGGAGCAGCTCTAGTAGCGTAAGGCCTGTGGCCTGGATTTTACACACAAAGGGAACCAAGAAGGACGCTGAAGGTTTAGGAAATGAAATGGGTGCTTGTTGTTGTTAAAGCTACTTATTATGAAAATTGTATATAATAATATAGTCATAAAAGACTAAATATATTTAGTTGTTTTCTAATAGATATTTAGTATTTTTGTAATTTAAAGGTAAATTTTTGATTTTTTTTTAAAAAAAAAGTTTAAAATCTCTCAAAAAATGAGGTACCCTTTTTTATTCAACAAGGAAAAAACTTAGGGCAAACTTATAATCCACACATGGTAAAAGCAAGCTGTAATACTGTAGATTATTTAGTATTTATTCTCTGGGGTTTATTTCTGTTGTTTTTAGGAGAAGACAGGAATTATTGCACAAAAATCCGCCCTAATATAAATATCTTGGAGACCTATTGCTGTGTCCTTGGTAGGCCCATTCCACAGAGTCAGCGTTATTTATATGGTGATGAACTGCCATGCCATCTGTCTTCTCCAACTCTAGCAAAAAATGGTGAGCAGCCTCATGCAGCTTATAGGACAGAATGGGAGTATGTCACACCATCTCTTTAAGGTTATCTGTGTAGATTATCTGTGTAGCCAGGCGTTGGTGGCTCAAGATGTCAGCACTCAGGAGGCGGAGGCAGGCTGATCTCTGTGAGTTTGAGGCCAGCCTGGTCTACAAGAGCGAGTGCCAGGACACTCTCCAAAACAATACAGAGAAACCCTGTCTAAAAAGCAAAAAAAACCCAAAAAACAAAAAACAAAAAAACAAAACAACAACAACAACAAAAAAACAAAAACAAAAAGATTATCTATGTATAGATTTCTTTTTTACTAGTTTTAAGCTAACTTTTTTCCTTTTACAGATTTTTAACCGAATCCGACAAAATGAACTTATGCATCTTGAGGTATAGAGAATGCTTAAAAAAAACACCTGTAATTTTTTGGCCATTCTGTTTTGCTCTGTGTGTCAGGTGCTCAGCCTCACACAAGGGATAGAGCGTATTTTAAACACGCTTGGATCCAGAGAAGGGGAACACCACACCTCCACTCTAGAAACAGCCTTTTAATAGAACACCCAAAACATCTTTAATGTTGTCTACATCAAAGGGACTCATAGTTATATATTTATGTCCGGCCATAAGGTGCAGCCAACACAGTAAGGGTGAAAAAGACAAAGACAACCAACAGATTATTTTGTCTCCAAAATATTATACTTTTTTTTTTTAAGATATAGAGATAAGATCTCTGGTGGGTTTTTAAGTTTTGTAGACAGGGCTGTCGTTTCCG